ATAATAATAAATAATATTTCGTTACTTTGCGGGCCGCAAAGTGGGTGCTGGCGGACAACATGTGGCCGCGGGTCGTATGTTGTGCAGGCCTGACCTAGAGGTAAAAAAAAATTATTTAAAAAATAGATTACATAGAGATGAAGATAAAAAAAATAGATTATTTAAAGATTGCAAATTTATTAAAAAATAGATTATGTACATTTAATTAAATTATCTCCTTTTAAGGGTATATTGTTTTTGCTCCTCTGCTAATAATTCCTGGATTAAAATTTTATATTAAGTGTAAATAGTAGACATTACAAAATTATTATTTTACCAGAGCAGCAATCTAATAATGACTGATGATATCCAGACCAGTTTACCGTCAAACTCTTAAAATCGTACAATATCATCACAAAATCGTTCAATACGCTCTATACACCTCAAAATCGTACATTGTACGCCCAAATCCTAAGAGTAAACAGGTCTGGATATCCCATAAAAATAATCAGGATGTATTAAATTAGTTAATAGATGGGAGGCAATAAAATATACGCCATTTCTTTTTTTTTTTGTTGAAAGTATTAAATTTTATCCAAAGATGGTAAGCTCCATACACAGTTAATCTAAATCTTTAAGTCGGAATATATTTGAAGAAAGTAATGAGATACAGTGGAACTTAAGTTATAACACATCCCAGTTTTTATTAGAGGAATCAGGGTGGGTACTATACTATTAAACAACTAATTGGTCATTTTATTTTATAACATTTTATAAAGAGTAATAGTAATAAATGTTAGACCTAACTGGCAAAGATTAAAATTTTATGAAATGATGCAACCAGATTTGAACTTGAGTCTTGTGAAAAATATTTAATTTCTAAATCATTGGAAAAAACTGTACATAAGCCTGGTCAACTTGGCAAGCGTATAACAACTACAGCATGGGTAAACCAACCAAGTTGGCATGCATGAGTATGGTATGGCTTATTTTTACGCGACACACCTACAGCCTACAGGTGAAACACCACTGTGTTGTAGTGACCCACCTACAGGTGAAACACCACTGTGTAGTGACACCTACAGGTGAAACACGACTGTGTAGCGACACACCAACAGCCTATAGGTGAAACACCACTGTAGTGACACACCTACACCCTACAGGTGAAACACCATTGTATGGCCACACGCCTACAGGTGAAACACCACTGTGTAGCGACACGCCAACAGGTGAAACACCACTGTGTAGCGACATGCCAACAGGTGAAACACCACTGTGTAGTGACATACCTACAGGTGAAACACCACTGTGTAGCAACACGCCTTCAGGTGAAACACCACTGTGTAGCGACACACCAACAGGTGAAACACCACTCTGTAGCGACATGCCAACAGGTGAAACACCACTGTGTAGTGACATGCCTACAGGTGAAACACCACTGTGTAGTGACACGCCTATAGGTGAAACACCACTGTGTAGCGACACACCTACCAGTGAAACACCACTGTGTAGCGACACACAGTTTGTAAAGGACTGTTGTGGGGAGGGTACTTAACTTTCCTGCATAATTATCATTCATAATGATGACACATAACCAATAAAAAAAATTGAAAGAAAAAACTCTAAATCTAAAGGTTTTAAAACATTTACTCTTACTCTTACCATAATATTTTGACATAAATTTAAAATAATAAAAGCTGTTTTTAACATTGTTAAAAAAAGAGAAATGCCAGCAAAGGATATTTTGCAGATTTTAATGTTAATATATAAAAGCTTTTTCAAAATTAATAAAATTCGAAAAAACATTTATCAAAGAAATGCAATATGTTTTCTTTAGTCTCATTCTTCTACAGGTCAATGACTTGTTTCGTAAACATCAAATGGTTGGCAAATGATATTTTTTAGATTATCTTCATTAATTTGTAATTTCAACTTTAAATAATGGAGATGATTTTATTTCTGATGTACTAAAAATATGATTTGTATTTTAAGTCACTGAGACAAGAAAATATAGCCACTTAAATTTTTGGAAGTTCCTTCTAATTTGGTGGCCCCTTCTATTTTGGAGGCCCCACCCCCAGAGTGAAATGTGACTCAGGATACATTTATGCTTCATATTTGATTAAAATTGTTGCTATATTTTTTTTTTTTTTTTTTTTATTTTTTTTTTAACTTTGTTCCTATGGCAAAGAATTTACCTTCAACAATAACCCAATTTTAACAATATATTTGCTGACCAGATCCTATGGCAAAGAATTTATCTTTAACATTAACCCAATTTTAACAATATATTTGCTCACCAGTAAATTAAGTAATTAAATATAAATGCTCCCCTTTATTTTTAAAGTATTATAATGATTACATTATGATTGCCAGTGGAAATAATGTTAAACAACGGGGTAAAGGAAATGGATGCTATTTTTTTTTACATTGGATTCCAAGTTATTTCAGTGTCAGTGTGAGCCTTTTACCCCGGCCGGGACATCTGCCAATATCAAGAGATTAACACTGTTATTAACAGGCAACTTTGTCTTATAGACACTTTTCTACAAAAGTCCCCAGTTTTCCCCACTTTGTGTGTCTCCCTCCAGGGTACAGCACCACTGTTGAGCTATAGGTATTTCTGGTTTGTGAGGAGGGGTTGCTAGCCCTTTGCCCAAACCTCCTCTTTTCTCATCTGAACTTGCCACCAGCCATCGTGAAGTTATCCCTAGTACCCACATTCATCAGATTAAATTCTGTGCATTTTAAACAAACTGCCTTCAATTTATTTTTATCAGTAGGTAGCTTTTTCAAGACCAAATCAGTGAGTATTACAATTTCAAGACAATCTTTCGATAATTTCTTTTCATTTACCCTCAGCTTCAGTCAGTGAAGCCTACTGAATAGAAATAGTGAAATGAAACACAACATTTTTTACTCAATAATGGTACCTTTATTTCTGAAACAACCCACAGTACATGAAAATAATGTTAAAATATCATCACAGTTTAATTTTTTTATAACTTTTTTTTTCCTTGGAAATACACGATAGACTTTGTTATGGTCTCTACCAAATTCTTAGTAACGGTACTTTGTTTTGATATAAAACACATGAACATGATATAAAGAGAATATTTGTTTATAATTATGAAAATACAGTGGAACCGGCTATAATGCACCCATATAATAAAGTAGTAATGCGAATTCAAAATATAATTTAGCTTCCAAAATTTTGAAAATTCATTTGCACTTAAAAAAATTATTTTTAGAATTAATTTGGAAACAATACAATCGTGGGGTGGTTCCTAAAATTTAAAATGGATAAACGTCAAATACCTCAAGCCGACAACCATGTTGTCTAGGCTTGGTGGTGGTTTTTAGACGCAATCAGTTGAAAGTAAATTATGTCACTTTCTTAGCTTCAAAATTCCCAAATGCTACTCATATGGAATTAAGGCTTCTGTGAGACCACATTGTATGTGTTCAAATATAGAGGCCTCAGACCCATAAGTTGCACCAGGTGCAGCTTGCGTAAAAGCTTTTGTACCTTTATTAATGTGATTCCATCTCATGGACACCGTCTGGGCTGTTTACCATAAATTTGTAAGAAACCCATTTGTACAAAGGAGCGTTGTTTTGAAGGGAAGTGTTTTGAAACTTGTTCAACAGAGATTTTAAAATATCTTTTTTTTAAGTATAAAGGCAAGTCAGGAAGGTGCTAGTGAGAAATTGGGAAAATATGAACATTTTAATAATTTTGTGTGTGTATTTCAGGTTCCCTTGCTTCCGCTCGAGCAAACTTCCATTCAAACAAAATGGCTTCATCTTGACACCCGGATAAGTAATTAGTGTGTAGTGGTGTTGAACGTCACACAAGGACAGCAAACTGAGATGATGACCAAACAGGAATTTTTCCTGCACTTTTCAAAGAAATAACCTATGGGTCATGCCTATGTTTTCCAAGCTGAACTTGGCCATAGCACTGTGAACTTCCTGCCATGTGCATGTGCACATGGTAGCATGCAGAAAAAGGGCATGTGACTTAGCCAACCCATTTTCTTCTTACAAGCTGGCGTCAACTTTTTAAAAAAATTTGTGAGGCCATTGTGGGACTTGGTGGGGCCGTTGTGGTGGGACTGTTGTAGAGGGCTGGGTGGGTGAGCTCACGCAGACAAAGCCTTTTTGTGGCCATTGCCCATCTACAGCTGTTGTTTTGCTGGCAGTTTAAATTCAAAGAATCTCTTTTTGGCACTACTACTATGAAAGCAAGTTCATGCCCTTAATGATATTTTCAGTTGCACTATGCATTTATAATATGGAAGTTTAAAAAAGAATACTTTTTTTGAAGTCTTGTAGCCGTGAGCGAAAATTAAAATATTTTTGAAAAAACATGATGTTATAGGTCATAGGATGATTGAAATACAGTAACATGCAATACAAACATCATTCATTCACTGGTTTATTTGACTTAACATCTAGCAACACATTTGTTTCTTCAGTGGCAAACTAAAAGAAAAAAAAAATTTAAGTTTGGAAAATAACAAGCGAAAATTCAATTATTAAAAAAAAAAGCATGATGTTATAGATAGGTGATATGGGATGATCAAAAGACAGTAACATGGAACACATACATCAGTCACTCACTGATTTGTTTTTCTTAACATCTACCAACACATTTGTTTCTTGAGTGGCAAATTTTTTTTTTAATTTAAAAATTAAAAGTTTGGAAAATAACAAGCTAATGATGAGAGTGACGAAATTCAAGTTTTTCATCTCCAAGTTTTTAACTTCTTACAAGTGCTTTTTGTTAAATATTTACAAATGTATTTTGCATTAAAAAAACAAAAAGGTTCACTCTTATTATGGCTGTGACATACAAACCACTAGAAAAATAACTTAACATATATTCCCCAAACACTTACAAACACATTTAAGTAAAATGATAAATTTTAGAGAAAAAACATTACCATTAAATGTGTCAGACTTCTTACATTTATATCATTATCAATAGAAAACAATTTTTCCCTTTTAAAAACTCCCTCAAATGTTACAAAATTTTTTTTTTAAAAATCCAGTTCCAAAAGACTCGTACCGGTAGTCAATATTATGTAGAAAGGAACTGAACCAATAAAATGTATGTGCAAGTTTGGGTCCGTAAAAACGATCATTGAATTAAATCTAGAAAATATTGTGGATGTGGTCAGCCTCCAGCAACAACTTTGTTGATCCTCCCAGCTCCTCATCGGTTTCTTCTTGGGTTAGTGGAATCCTTATGAATCTGAATGTCGCCAGCAGCATCAGGGACAACAGGCCAACACACACAACAAATATTAAATGGTTACCATGAAGAAATACGTCTTCGTGAAGGAGCATCAAGACGGCACACGAGATCAGATTCAGCGGTACGCGAAACCAGTTCATTATGGAGTATCTGTGCGCGTCTGGGATGACCCGCATTCGCAGCACGCTCATGGCTGGAAAGTACAAACCCACACAGAACTGGAACACCAGGAAAGCCACTAAGGATGCGTTGAGGTGTCTCGTTCGAGGGTGTGTTGAGTAAACGCATGTTAATATTGAAATAAGAGACAAGATTACAACAAACAGTAATATCCTTATGACGGTAACCCCTTTTGATGTTAGGATTTGAAAAATTGCCTGCCCAATAAGGATACAAACCATAAAGCAAGAAAATATTATCCCAAGGGATGGCTTCCCTTGCTCTAGTATTGGAGTCCATAAGAATATTACAATATACACAACACTTTCAAACAAGGCTTCTATGGCCCCTATCATGAAAATGCGCCTATTGGTTACTATGTCTCTAAGTCCATCGTAGCACAATCTTCCAAACTTAACTTTATGCATAGAGTAGTTTTCATTCCAGTGTGTGGATATGATGACTCCAACAAAGATAAGAAATGGAACAGCCATCATGTATGGGGCCACTGGGCCCAGACCGATCCACTCAGAAACAATGTTAGTGGTCACACCGGCCAAAACTGCAAGGATTCCATTCCACATGGAGGCTCTTTGAAATGTTATTGGGATCCACTCTTTTGGAAAGTCGTGCGTCTCCAGGTGCTCATGAATGTACCATGCTTCAAAAGCTGTAAACAAAACAGAGGTGGCGAGGCCACCGACAAGACGACCTATTAACAGAATCCCATAACTTCTGGATAACTTAAGCAAACATGACAACGAATATGCGACTGTGAAAAAAATACATAACTTCTTCCTTCCAAACTGGTCAGCTGCAATGGGTGTCCATGCACCAAAAATGACAGATGAGGCAAATCCAAAAACATACAAGACAGCAATTTGTTGCTCGTGAAAGCCGTAGTAACTGTAGAGTTTGTAGAGGTACGGCCCTTGGAGCCAATCTGCAAACATGGCAACCAGGTAGACTGCAAAATATCCTCGCTGGAATTTAATGAATTGCGGATTGTTACCCACAGTGACATTCCTTCTTGTCCGATGTGCCCAGTACTGTAATATCAAACACAGCACAGACAAAGTACCAAAGGTGAAGTATGCAAGAACCATCATCTTGAAAGTGTTTTTGTCCAGTATACTTATTTAATGAAGAGGGTAAGGTAAAATCTTCAGTTCAACATACATGAACATGGTTAAGGATCCATCTGTAATGAGAAAAACACCAATATTTAAAAATCATTCACTATATAGTGTACTATTATTTGCATTAAAAAATTGATATATTATTCCATTTCTTAACACTGAAAGAAAAAAAAAGACTTAATCTTTTATGATAATGTTTAACTCATTCCTGACGGCACTGCAACTTCCGTACTTAAATTATATACCGGTATCTGAACAAAGGGAGTTTTCTCCATTTTGTAAATGATATATATTTGTAAAATATTTTTTTAGCTGCTTAAAATTAATTAATATTAATGAATTAAGGATAAATGCATCCAGAAATGAATAAGGTTTAATAAAAACATAACATTAACAGCGCATAAATAACAAGGGCAAAAAATTGATTTTTGGCACCTCGGATGGACACATTTTGGATATTGAAACACTGTACTAAAGCACATAGATTGAAAGTGAAACAATTACAAATTGAAATCATGTAGAATCAGGCTTTTATAGCCTGTGTGTTGACCTAGTTTTTGTTAACCACGAGCAGTGGCATGCAACCCTTACCTGTCCATTTTGTTTTGTGAATGACGTGCTGCCAATCCTTTTTGCCCCACCGGACTTGAGTGGGAGTTTGTTTACATTTCTAGAAGGTTCTACATAGAGGGAGTAATAATCTTTGGCGATTAATTTTCTAAACTTTCTTTTCTGGAGGGTTCTGACTCCCTCACTATAAATATGACGGTCGACTGTCCCTGATGAAAGTTTACAAGACTTACTAGATTTTTCAATGTGTGTGGATTAATATTTGTACCTTTGTGGCATTTTACTTTTTCACTCGCTGTGCTGTAAGTTAATACAGTTTTTATTTCTGTACATTTGATTCTGTATTTTTATATCAGCTGAACAGTATAATTAAATGTATTATTGTTAATATCACTAGGTTTGGTATCGTTTTTCTTTGAATACTTGTTTTCAATGCTTTGTTACTTATAGCTCAACTAATGAGCCGAATCTTAAAACAGATTAAAATTTTAAAACCATATAAAATGATGTCCGGTACAACATGCAATCACTGGAAGTCTTGAGGGATGCAGGATTTCATTGCTATTTTAAAATAAAAATGAGAGAGGTGTGTCGCTATGCGCCAAGATGCGTCTGTTGTAACCCCCACAAGGATGAATTGAGTCGCAACTGTCGGGAATGAGTTAAGCTTAGCTTATTAGCAACAGGCATAGACGATTCCACAACAAGATCAAAGATGATTAAATTTCTATTAATACATGCATAAAGCCTACATATTCATTGAGATTTAACCCTATAACTGCCAAGTGCATTTTTCTGCAACATCAAGCCATTATTAGTATTTTTGTAAGATTGTCAAAAATGACAATATCCTACACTATATGAATTCAGAGACCCTTACAAGAATACATTTTCTGAAACTACCCTAGACAAGGTATCTTACGTATGAAAAGAATTTGTTTTTATAATATAAAAGTTGATATTAACCTTGACCTTTAAAGAGGGAGTAAAATGTTACTACTCAACTTCTTCATTCAACCCAACCTAATACTCCATAATTTGTTCCAGCTATCAAGTCTTTGAGATACTAGACACAATATTCTTTTAGAAAATGTCAAGTTATAGGAACTTTAATTAAAAACTGAAATTTTGGTAAAGTTCATTCTTTCACTACTGTACCTTCAAATCTCTGTCATACAAAATACAAGGGGTAACGTACGAAATGAGTTCATTTGAACTTAATTGAATAGTAACTTTTGAAATTCCATTTGTTCAATTTGACATTAATTAAATACATTTTTTATTACATAATACTCCAGAACATAAACAAACATAAATAATAAATGTCTTTGAATATACTTAAGGTAGGTATTTTTTATCCCATCTTTGTCTTTTCTGTTTGATTTCCACCCTATCCCAAACAAATTTGTCTGTAACAAAATGCCTAACCTTAGGCTTAGGGCTAAAATTGTAATTTACCACTTCATCATCAGCTATTCAAAAATTGTGTTGTTCTGGTTTGAAATTGGAAGTGCTATTTACGTGGTTTTATTGATAAGATAAAACTCTGATCCACATAAATGGATTTTTTTTTTAAAGACATTGTATCTATAATTTCAGCACATAGATATATAAATATAAATAATCCAAGGAAAAAATTTGACAATAGAAAAATTTTGACAATTAAATTTATGAAATAAAAGAGATCTGGATTGTATGCATAGTTCTCTCCCAGGACCTATGTAACATGGAAGTTCTTGAAAATTTTATCTCCACCAGCATAATTGCCAAAAATGAACACAAGCAAATATGAAGAGAAAAGATAGTGGCTTGTGCCATACTGTCTTTTCATTTTGCGCTTTGCATGCATCCACATATTTTCAATATTCTGTGTGTGGATACCAGCAGCCAGCGTCATTTGGCATTTGGATCAACATGATTTTGTTAAAGGTGAAGGACCACATCACAAGGAGTGTATTCCAGTGACGTAGCTGGGGAGGGGGGTCCAAATTCGAAAGTCCCCCCTACTTGAGGAAGGCCCCCAAAGGAGTGTCCGAATTTTTTTTTTACATTAAATAATGTCGAAGGTCTAAATGTAGGGGGCCCCTAAAGAGGCCAAGCCCCCCCCCCCTTCATCCCAAGCTACGCCACTGCGTGTATTAATAATTAATAGTATTATTAGAGTTAGAGTCGTGTTTGCATAAGCTGCCCATCCGTCCAATAAAATAGTGAGCCTGGAATTATATATCTCTCGATATATATTTATCCTGTCAAGTGATTGCAAGTCAGTCTGGCACTTCAATATCATAGTGACTATGCCTCTAGCCACTAAGTCCAAGTTACCTACTGAGCCTACTGCCTACTGAGTTAATCACTCAATCAGGACTAAGTCTAAGTCGAGTGTTTTGCTATAAATAAAATTTCATTGAAATCATAGCAGTGTGGATAAGCTGAGCAACTGAAATTAAAATAAAACTGAATTTTTTAAGGGTTGTCAACTGTGTGATTTAATAATAGCATTGTATCGTAACGAAAGTATTACCATATCATGTCAAGATTGTTGTTTTGTTAAGAATTCCATTTACAAACGGATCGCTTCCTGCCATGTAAACTAAAAAATTTTCGTAACTTTTTAATTAAGGGGGGACCGGTAGTCAACTTTACGTAAAAATCATGTTTTTTTTTTTTTTTTTCAATTTTCCAAAAAGTGTATATTTGGTTACAATAACCTCTTATAAACACAATCCACAAATAAAAATTTCTAAAAATAATTGTTTTAAGTAAATAATTTTTCCTAATATAACA